ATTGATTGAAAAATTTAGGTTATTACACCCGAGGAAATCTACAAGTTCGAAATTGTTATTATTCAATGCAGCTGTACAAGGTAAAAATGAAAGTTACATCAATTGGGTAAGTAGATTATGTATTTTACAAAATGAATGTTCGTTAAGCGATAGAAAGTCATTGAAAAAGTAAAAATTTCATCAAATAGCAGAAGTATCAGGCAGAAAATTACGTTGAAAGAGAATATTACATTAGCAGAAGTCTTTAGTTTAAGAGATGATTTTAAGGAGACAGAATTAAAAGAAAATATAATAGCTAAAGTTGAAAACATTTCATTAAATGAAAAGACTGAAGAAGAAACAAGTGTAAAACATTTGGAAAGACAAAGAGGCATAAAATTTGAAGAAAACAAACAGGTGGTCAGATACGACGATAGACATAATCCACGATCGAATAACGATAACAGACAACGATGGACAGCAAGAGGCCATGACTTTCAAAGAAATATTTATCAAGGAAATAGTTATAACCCCAGTTACCAAGGAAATAATTACAACCCTAGATATCAGAATTATAACGCGAATTATTACAACGTCAGAGCAAACTATCCAGAATCGTACAATAATTCTTCGAGATTTGATAATAGAGCTAGTTATAATAAAAATGACTATAATAATAATAGATTTAATAATGATTATAATTACAGATATAACAGACATTATAACGATTCAAGATGTATTCAAAGATATAACGATAATCATAATATTGGAAATCGAGGAACTAATCAAGTATGCAATTGTAAATATCATAACAACGACAATAATCAATCACGATATACAAATAAAGTAAACACTGTAAATATAGAAGAGATAAAAGAAGATGATAATGACAAACTAGAAAGAAAAGAATATAATTTATACAATTTAGACATAAACAATATGGATACCGATAATAATTACACAGCTAACGATGCTTATAAGGTCACGGTATATTTGAACGACGTGCCTATTTTGATGCAGATCGACACCGGGTCAAAATATAGTATTCTACCGATTCATATCGCGAAAAAGATTGGAGTAAAAATCTTAAATAAATCAGATATTAAATTAACTGGTTATGATGGAAACACAATAAATGTTTTAGGAACTACCAAAGTCAAGGCAAAATTCGAAGACAAAAGTCAAATCTTAACTGCTTATGTAGTCCAGAGTGATAAGATTGCACTGTTAGGAAGGACCTGGATAGCAGTCTTTAGAAATATACTAGATAGATTTGTAAACTTAGTCGAAGAAGATTATGACAATACTATTCAAGAACTGATCAAACAATGCGAGTCAAAACTTAGCAAGAAACCAATACTACGCAATTATGTCAAACTACATCTAAAACAAGGTGCTACACCGAAAATCATACCTCCCAGGCGTGTACCTTATTCAAGAATTGACTTGGTTACAAAAGAACTACAGAAGTGGATAAGCGACAAAATAATCGAACCTGTTGAAGAGGTAAGATGGGCCAGTCCTCTCACTCCTGTTGTCAAGAGCGATGGTTCAATTCGGCTATGTGTTGACTTCAAGAATACTATTAATCCTGCGTTAGAGGATTTCAAGTACCCAATTCCACGCATCAATGACCTTATGGCAAAGTTATCGAAAGGCAAGAAATTTACAAAGATCGACTTTAAAAATGCATTTCTTCAAGTTCCAATACACAAAGAATCAAGAGATTTTCTCACTATTTCAACTCATAAAGGCTATTTCAGGTTTACAAGACTTCCGTTTGGATTAAAAACTTCGTCAGCAATATTCCAACAAACCATGGATAATATTTTCGGGAACATGAAAGACGTCGTGTTTTATATTGATGACTTATTGATTACTGGGGAGGATGATGAAGCTCACGTGAACAACATAAAAATGGTATTTGACAAAATATCAAAGTATGGGCTTACACCAAACTTCACAAAGAGTATATTTTTTAAAAAAAAACTACGGTTTCTAGGTCACGATATAGACGACAATGGAATCCATCCGAACGCAGATAAAATAAAGGCTATTTCTAATATGCCGGAACCTAAGACAAAAGAAGAGTTGGCAACTTTTTTGGGGATGGCGAGCTATTATCGAAAATTTCTGTGCAATTTTGCTGACATCGCCGATCACTTATACAAAATAGTAAATAAAGACAAGTGGTCATGGGATAGTACACATCAAGAAAGCTTTGATTACCTAAAAAAAACTCATAAGCACTCCGCCTACGTTAAATTTTTATAACCCGGATCTACCAGAGGGCATTGCAACTGATGCTTCAAAGAAAGGTTTAGGCGCAGTCTTATTTCATATTGAGGGTGATGGCAAAGAAAAACAGATCGCTTTCGTGTCAAGAGCACTATTGAAATCAGAGTTAAATTATACCAATATCGAAAGAGAAGCTTTGTCGGTTATTTACGCGGTTAAAAAATTCCAGGAGTATTTAATAGGCACAAGATTTGTAATAATTACCGACCACAAGCCACTCGTGTATATATTTACGAAGGGACTCAAGGATAATTCTTCCATATCAATGCGACTCCAAAAATGGAACTTGGCTATGGGAGCGCATGACTTTACGATAGTTCACAGACCCGGGAAACGAAATATTGTACCAGACTGTTTGTCCAGATTACCACTAATGAATACAGAAAAGATGGTACAAAAGTCAGATGACGAAATAATTGATGACAATTTTTGGGACACACCAATAAATTTTAAAAGAATAGTTAAAGAAACTAATATTGATCAAGAACTAATGGAAGTAATCAACGATATAAGGAATCATGAGCAGATAAAGAACAAAACGTATAAAAATATGGTATTGGAATTGAGTTTAATCAAAGGTTGCCTTTTTAAAGAGAATAGGATCATAATACCGAAAGGTATGAAAAAAGAGATTTTGCAAGAGTTGCATAATGGGCATCTCGGTGCTGGAAAAACAAAATCATTAGCGAGAGAGTATCTGTGGTGGCCTGGTTTAAATGCAGAAATAGATCAGGAGGTAATTGCGATGCTTGCAATAAATACGCAGACAATCCTCATAATATTCAAAACCCATGGGAAACAGCAACGAAAGTATTCGAGCGCGTACACATAGACTTTGCAGAGTTCAAAGATAATAATTTTATGGTATGTGTTGACGCCTTCAGCAAATTTCCTATTATTAGGAGAATGAGAAACACAACTACGGAATCAACGATTAAAGAATTGATGAAAATAATAAGTTTATTTGGTATACCTAATAGAATAGTCAGTGATAATGGAACTAACTTTACCAGTAAATTATTTAAGAAATTTTGCGAAGATCACGAAATCGAACACTTGCTCACCGCACCTCACCACCAACAGTCCAATGGCCAATGTGAGCGTATGATTAGATCAATGAAAATGAATATGAAAAGGAATATAGAAAATAATAATAAAATAGACGTAGACATAGAGAAAAGTTTCTTTTTAATTATCGTAATACACCCAACGCAACGACCAACAAAATACCAAGCGAAGTAATGTTCTCCAGAATGATTAGGACAAAATGGGAGTTGATAAAACCGAGGGATGAGAGATCATATACTAAATCGCAAGATATCAATAGATAGGGATATAGAAATAGGAGACAGCATATGGTATAAAACTTTTAAAGATAATAATTGGGAAAAAGGTACAATAATGCGCAAAAACGGAAATTTGTTGTATGATATAGATACTGGGAACAAAATTATAAAAAGACACTTGGACCAAATAAAAAAAAGATCAACTAATGTAGAACTTTCTTCTAATGGTGCAACAGTTTTTAAAGCGAATGTTAATAATAATGCATCACCTTATACATTGAATTTTAGAAGGGGAGGTGATGAACCAAGAAACCAAAATGTACAAGTAAATGATCAGAATCGCAACGTTCAAAGACCAGTTAGAAATAGTGTGTTGCCTAGAAAATTTGAAAATTTTATAATGAATTAAATTTGATAATAATTTTTTTTTTCTCTTCCTTATATTAAAACAAAATTAGTTTTTTTGTGTGTGGAACTAAATTGATAAAACGTACAACAAAAAAAGATCAACGAAGAGGTTAACGAGCAAGAATGACAAACGACAAAAATTAAAAAAAAAAAAAAAGTGTGAAATGTTAAACAGTATTAACTTTAAAAAATTGTTTTTTTTTATCCTTAAGCCATTTATGGCGTAACTTAAAATATTTCAAATGTAATAAGAATTGTTTCTTTCTTTTTGTTAAAAACAACTTTTATATTTTAAATCAATTTGTTTATAAACTAATATTAAATTTTATATTTTATAAATCAGTTTCTTTCTTTTTGTTAAAAACAACTTTTATATTTTAAATCAATTTGTTTATAAACTAATATTAAATTTTATATTTTATAAATCAATTTACTTAATAAACTAATGTTCAAATTTTTATTTTTAACTTTTAAAAAAAGATCAATTTATTATAAATTACATTAAATTAAATTGTCAATATATATAGGAAACTATTTTGAATACGTGATCATTATATTTTTTTAATTTAAATATCAATAAATTTACGTAATATACGCATATAACATTTATTTTCTGCCTTTGATTTCTGAAACCTTTTCAGCTAGATTCTCCCCTTTTTTGGTAGTAGTGATAGATCATGTCATCCAACGTTTCCTATCTTTTCTTAATTTAATGCCATTTTTAAAAATTTATATTAAATTCAAATGAGTGATTTAATCATATATAAAAAAATTGATATATTGTTTGATTTTTATAAAAGTTTGCATAAGCCTGATTTTTTCATTCTTGATATGAGTCTAGTTTAGTATTTCCTCGACATCCAATATCAATTTTTCAACAAGAAAAAATTGAACTAAAATTAATATTTTCGTTTTTCAGTAAATACTATTTATATTTATATCTATTTAATATATCTCCGGTTAGAGATTAGTTATATACAACAATGTGCCGATGAGATTTTAAATTTTTAAAAGTATTCGTTCATTTTTTTAAACGATTAACATGCGACATTCATGTATAATATATTGTTGTAATAATATACGTGTAAGATATGCTCCAAGCCCTACAGGGTTAATGCATTTAGGAAACATACGCATTGCCCTTTATAATTATATATTTTCTAAGGCAAATAAAGGAAAGTTTATTTTAAGAATCGAAGATACAGACAGGGTAATTAGGAGAATTTATCACTTTAAACATTCAAATTAGAGTAGATTTTCTGAAGCTTCCTTGTATAATATTCATGAAATATTAGAATCTACGGGTCTTGTACCCGATGAGGGCCCCAAATATGGTGGAGAATATGGGCCTTACATACAATCTAAAAGGTATTTTTATAATCAAAATAAATATTTAGAAAATTTATTATTTATAAAGATTAAATATATATAAAGAATACACAAATAAGCTAATAGCAATGGGAAATGCATATAGATGTTTTTGTACTGATGAAAGATTACATTTAATAAAAAAGAATAATGATTTTCCAGATATTTCAAAGTATGATGGCAGATGTCAAAATTTAGATCAAGTTATTATAGATGATAATATTAAAAAAGGCCTTAATTATTGTGTTAGGTATACTATGTCCAGCTCTTCATTTTAATAAAACAATTTTAGATTCAAATTAAATCCAAGAATTACTTATTTTAATGATCTAATTTATGGAAGAATCAGCAGGGATGTATCAGATATTGAAGGAGATTTTATTATATTAAAAACTGACAAGTTTGTATTTTTTTATTTCAAGATTAATAAACAACATCTTATAAAGCAAAAAATAATAAAATTAATAAAAAATTATATTATAATAATTTTAGAATCTTTAATTCTCTTTTTAATATCCTTCCAATTAATTCCTCCATTTTTTAAAATTATTGGTGATTTGAAAACTCAATTTAAAAAAAATAATTGAATTGGGCCTAATATTTTTTTTATTATATTTGGATCAAACCTAGGGTTACTCATTCTTTTTTGAGATGTCTGAAAATTTGTCCAGTATTTGTTTTAATATATCATCTTTGTTAAAAATAATTTTTTTTTTGCATACTATTATAGACAAAATATTTTTATTGCATCATAACAAGTTTTGTTTCTCTTCAATTTGATAAAATGTAAAATAATTTATTAAATGTGTAAAGGTATATCCTTTAACATTTTGTAGCTAGTAGGAAATAGGAATAGTTAATAAATGTTTATATAAAATTGATAAATTAGAAACGCAGAAAAATTAGAAAGTAAATAGGTAAAATAAATGAATAGTTTTTCCAATTAGAATCATAATATTCAGAATCATCATCAAATAAGAAGCAAAATGTATAAATATTTTAATAAAATAAATTTATAATTCTCAGTTTGACAAGCCCAATTCTTAGATCTCATGGTCATGTGTAATAATTATATATTTCACAACCTAGACATTCCTTTTAAAACTTGACTCAGATTTAAATGTTAAAATTCATCCATAACAAATGTTTTTTCTGCTCCTTCTGGAGAAAAAATGATGTTTAATTTAAAAATTTCATTGATCCTTCATTAAACTGCATTATTACCAAATCAAGTGCAGCATTAAACATATTGGGTTTAAAGCTAAAATAAAATATTATATATTTAATAATTAAAGTACATATAACTTTCCTTTTATGATTGTAATGTTTGAAGCCTAGAACTTTCAAAATCAAAAGATAAATTTCTTCCCTTCATAAAATAACTTTGATAAAACATTCAAAATATCAGTGTCATTATCTAATAAGACTGAAAAATGATACAAGATAATATTTTAAAATATACTTCAAATTAATCAAGCAATTTGCCAATTGAAATTAACTTGGTTTACAATTTTGTACAAGCCAAGCTTGCTAACAATATTCAAAACACAAAGTGGAAAAGTAGAATTAAATTTTCTAAAAACTATATCATTAGCCATGGTAGAGGTGACAGGATCTTCAGAATCCTTTAAATCTGTCATAGTAGCCCAAACCCTTTCTTCATTACATAGAATAAAAAACTATCTCAAACGTACAACATCTTAAAATCGATTGTATGAACTAGTTTTATTTAATATACATCGAAATTTAAACCCCAACACAGAACAAATTATTAAAAAATTGGCGCAATCGCAAAGAAGATTAAATTTCATTTAATAAACGATATTTTTATTAACTTTAAGTCATTATTAAATGTTTAATTTTATAATTTATTGTATACCGGTTTATATAGCTATAATATTTTTTAACAATTTTATATTCGCTCTTAAATATTTTGTACTTTCCAATATTTTATTATTTATGTTCGACATTATCATATTTTCAAATTAATAAATGTTGATGATTAGTAAAAAAAATCGTTTAAATATAAAAATATTATCCCCCCCCCCTTTGTATAAAATTTCTGGCTACGCGCCTGTCATGGGGGTACAATAATTTCTAAAAATAAATTTTCAAAAAAAAGTACACCCTTATAAATTTTAAGAAACAGTTGCTTCGTACCACCACCACCCCGTTATAGGGACCACTGTTTATAAGTTATAAGAATTTAATTCGCTTTTAATTATTTTATGTTATTTATATCAGAGACCTGCAGGGGTATCATTTCGACCCAGATTTTTTTAAAAAAATTTCTCGCGACCTGTATGCCTTTAAGCCCGGTCTGATCCCGGATTATTTTAAAATAAAAATTTTCAGGCCCGACCCCGAGTTTTTTAAAATTATATTTATTTTTTTAATTTTTATAGATAATGGCGGTTTAAAATATTCGACACGGCCCTGGTATATTAGCCCGTGTATCAAGGCTTATGCTGGGCCAGTAGGTCTCTGATTTATATATAAATGCAATAAAAAATATATGGCAGCTTAAAAATTAATTAATTTTTTTAAAATTCATTTTATATGTCTTATTTAAATATATAAAAAAATATTCTCTTTTCCACTAAGCAAGATTTCTAGTGAATGTCGCTGTCCGTGTTTGGCCCAGACCGATATGCAGACCAATATGGTCCGGATTTTTGCCCTGGGCCGATACGGTCTTTAAAAAGATCGATTCAGACCTTACCGATCTATTTTTTTTGTTATTTTAAAAGTATTTTCGTTTTTACCCAATTTAATTTTTGTTTATTAGGACTATAAGTAAAATGCGTCTTTGACAAACCTATGGTTTTCTTATTGCAAAATAAAAAATGAACTAAAAATTCACATAAATCTAATATCTCCTCTAGAAAAATAAAATATAATAATTGAATACTAAAAGCAAACTTAAATATCAATAAGGTTCGGACCACCGTAAAAATAAAATCCGGCTCATACTGTGGTCCCTAGAAAAGATCGGGCCTACTTCGGTTCTAAGACCGACCTGACCCTTCACTACCTGTAATCATGGGTTAAATTTAGTGTAAAAAAATTCTGCGGAATCCAACCATACCAGACTAATTTTTTTTAAAAAATTCTTTGGACTTAAAAATTATACCGAATACAGATCTTTACTTATTATTATTTATTTCTTTTTTTTATGAATTCATTTTTATACAATTTTTGTCATAATTTTCTTTGCATCCAATTATAACAGATATCCAACCTATCATTTAGCCAACGTTGTTGATGATCACTTAATGCATATAAGCCACGTGATAAGAGGAAGTGAATGGATAAGCTCAACAACCAAACATATTATGCTTTACTCAGCCTTTGAATGGAAACCACCATTGTTTGCTCATCTACCTCTCATTTATACATCAGATGGTGTTAAATTGTCTAAACGAAATCAAGATTTACAAGTAATTATAACAGAGTTGAACGCTCCTTTTTAAAAGTAGCTAGCTCCCGCTCCTGTCTTCTCAAAAGGAGCTAGCTCCCACTCCCGCTATTACATTTTTAAAAGGAGTTAGCTCTTAGCTCCCGCTCCAATTATTGGAGTGTCACTCCATAACCACTCCTTTGATTTTCATTTTTTAGAAGGTAAACGAAACGAAATCATATTTTTTTTTATAAAAAAGCTTTATTTATATTAAAAGATCTATCAAAATATTGATAATTTTTTATTAGCTTTTAAAAGTAATAAATTTTCTAAATTAGAATCTAATAAACATCCACACCTCTCCTCTAAGATCTGTTTTGCAATACTAAATAGGCACTCCATAGGAGCACTAGAGGGAAGCGGGATATTGTATCTTATAAAGATATTTTTTAATTCAGGGAATTTATCAAAAATTGTAATTTTGGTATCATTATTTAAAAACCAATATATTATCTTCCTGATGACCAATTTCATGGAATCCAAAAAAATCTTCCAAATTAATTTGTATTTAAAAGAAAGATTTTTTACTTTTAGTTGCATTTTTAGATTGAAGCTGCTTACTTTTTAAAATTAAATAGTTTTATTTAAACACAAAAGACATTTTGCCTTTAAATTTGTTTGATTATTTGGATCAACATCTTTTAGAAGTTTAAAATATTTTTTGTATGATGGAAATGGAAATTCTATTTCTTCATCTATGATCTCTAAAACCATAATACTAAACCTATTTTTTATTATATATCTTTAAAATGAATATAATATGAATTACAAGATTTTCCAAAAAATTTTCAATATAAAAAGGAAATTTGATGTTTAATATTTAAAATGATTAGATGAAAAACCAATATAAAACTCGGTTAAACATTTAATAATGGATAAATTTAAATTAAATAAAATTTCATTTTTATTGAATTTTAATTAATAAATATTATTAATATTTAAAAAATAATTTAATTTATACATTAAATTTAAAGGAGCGGTGGAGCGGCTCTCCTCCACTCTAGCCCTAAAAGGAGCTAGCTACCGCTCCCGCTTCCCAATTTTAAAAAAGGTGTTTTTAAAAAAATGTAGCGGCGCTCCAGGAGTGCTGCTCCTTAACAACTCTGAATTATAATAATAGATTAAATTCTATCTATCAAGGTTGGACAATAATTAATTACACAATTGCAATTCCTTTATTTAATTGGTAACTATAATTAACTCCACTTTAAAAAAAATAAGTTAGTAATTATAATTAATTACATTTTTTCCGATATGTAATTTGTTGGAATTAGCAGTTATCTTTCCTTTTCTTTTTCCTTTTCTTATTTAATTAATTTTTATGAAAATGCTGAATATTTGCAATATTTTATTCATAATTAATATTGAACCAAATCAGCTTGTAACGCCATTTTAGTTTCTTATATGATGTAAATAAGGTTAGGGTTCACCATTTCGTATGAACATTTATGAAAAAAAGTAAAATGACCTAAAATGGCCACATATATATTTGAAGCGAGTATAATATTTGTATAATTTTGAAATGATGTAACAGATTAGACAAATAAATTAAAATATACTTTTTATTTTAAATAAAATTAAATATAAATATAAATTGCTAAATGGTAATTAATATAGATTATATACAATTAATATTATAATTAGGGATGTACCGATATTTTATATCGGATCGGATCGGGCCGATATTTCGCCCATTTTAAAATATCGGTTATCGGCAAATATTATAAAATTTTCCGATCCGATATAAAATGGCGCTTTTAACAAAATTTAAAAAAAGTTATATCTAAAAATCCATTTATTTTTATAAATAAAATCGGAATATATTTTTATGCTTAATTATTTTAATAGTAATAATTAGTTAATAAACATTCTGCAATATAGTTATTTTTTTTCGCATTCTGTTTAAAAAAGTGTTCATTAATCTCTTCAGAATCTGTTTTTAGTGATACTAGTGATATTAACAGTCCCCATCACCGCAGACCAATCTCTGATAAATTGGAAATTTTGGTATTTCTAAAAAGAAATCTTCGATAAATTAATTTTATATATTAATTTCAAATTTCAATATATTTGTTTATTACTAATTATGTAAATAGATTAATGTTATTACTTATTATATAAATAATTGCAATTGAATTGAATATAAACTATAACTGATCATTATAATATATTTAAATGACATATGTTATGGTATAGTAAAATTATAGATGTTGTACTAATAAAAAGAATATTAAAAATTAAAACCGGTATCTTTACAGAATACAAAATTAGATATGATATCGGATCGGTTATCGGCCGATATCAATTAAATATCTGGAATATCGGATTGGATCGGCCTCCAAAAAGTGGTATCGGTACACCCCTAATTATAATAATTGTATATAAAATATATGATCATATTTTATATTAATAATAGAAAAGAATATATTAAAAAATTTAATTAATTAAGATAATATATTATAAATTGCAGATAATTTACAATATTTTAGAAAACTCTTCTAGATCTATTAATATATAACAGACAGCACGATTATACTATAAATATATCTTTGAATCAGTGACGAAGCAAAATAAAAAAATGCTTATTTTTTTTATTATATTTTTTTTCCTTACTTAATTAATGTTTAATAATTGTAATTATGTTATTGAAAATTTATTATGATTATCAGAGTTGTATAAAAAGTATATGCATCTATATACTATTTCAGAGGTATCTGTTTATAGATACTTTTTAAGATACATTTTGATATAATTTTATTTAACGCCTTTTTATCTAAAAAATAAAAATATTTAGATGCAAATTTTATGTTATATGTATGAGCATATAATTTAAATAAATATATATTATAAAAATATTAAGACTAATATAATAAAAAAATATATATATAATATTAAACTCATATATAGAAAAAGATATAAATATCATTTTTTTCCCCATTATCTATAGATATCAGTTCAAGATTGTGAAAGATATTCTTATCATGCAAAGGAATTTATAAATCCTTGCTTAGACATGACGCCTATTAATTATAAACAATACCCAGAGTTGGGCAGGTCATCCGGAAAAAGAATCTAGATACAGATACAGATTCTTTGTGAAAAAATGAATCTTAGATATAGATACTAATATCTTTTTCAAAATATCAAAAAGATACGTGTATCTTTTGCCAAATTAGAGTATCTTAAATACAAGATACTTCTAAATTATCATTACCAATTAAATTAGAATAGTTTGTAAAATACAGTTTTTATTATTTATTTGTGAAGAACATAACATACATATAATAAGAATGAATATTTACAATAATTAATAAAATATTTAATGATGAGTTGATTATAATAATCAGGTATTTTAATATTAGTATTAGCCCATTCTTAGCATAGATGAAGGGAGACTAGTATTTTTAATGGGAGTTGAAATATTAATTTGCAAAAGAGTATTTAAAATAAATTCATTATTTTATAAGATAATCAAATTTTTCAAATATTTATAATTGGACCTTTGCCGTTTCGGCGTACTTAACATTGTGCCAAAACTAAATAACCTTTCAATTGGAGCTGATGAAGGTATTGCAGTATTATATTTATAAAAAATTTCCTTAATGGAAGGGTAATTATTAAGCATTTATAATGTATTTCGACTTTCTTTAATATAATTTAAAACCCCCAGTTCAATGTTATTTATATTATTGAACTCCGCAACCTTTGTTTTACCAAAAGAAAAATAATATGGATGTGATATTGATATCAAAAAAGCCTCATTATATTCAAATCATAACTAGTATCTTATTAAAAATTTTAAAAAGATACTGAGTACAAGATAAAAATATTTTTGACTTCGATCGAAAAAAAGTTATTAAAAAATTTAAAATCTAGCAATAACTATTATAATTCTGTGTTTGATCATTTTACTCAAAAACAAAGACGAATTATACTTATTTATATATTTTAATCTTTTTCTGGTTTGACTAAAAATAAAAATTCTATTGCTTCCATAGTAGTGAATTTGACGCTTCGTCACTGCTTTGAAACTATATAAATATTGAAGTTTATCATAAGTACTTTTGTGGGTTAATACATAAATCCTTTATCATATAATTAAATTTTTTTATGTTAATATTTAAAGTTTTATCTTGAGGTAATATTAGTTCAAAAATGTATTTTTCTGTAAATGTTTAATTAATCTATATACCTACCCTATTATCCAATATTGTTACATTAATATATAACCCATATTAAGATAGTTGATTTTCTTAACTATATCATATCTTTGTCATCTTTCCTAACTATTCAAAAGTCTGACTTTTAAAACTTTTTCTAAAATTTAAGTGGCACGCTTTTACCTGGTCAGAAAATTGAACTTATTCAAGAATGAACATAAAGTAGTAATAATATTTTTAGGGATTTATTTATTATTTATGTCATAGAAAATTTTAAATATATAATATACCAACAATATTAAAAATAATATATTTCCATTGCGATTATTATAATAAGATTACATATTAGTATTGCGCTATATAAATATGATTAAAAGATTGTATGGTAAATTATTAAAAATGGTTTAGTGCGTGTTAACTATATAAATAAAATATCAATGACTAAACAATATAAGGTATATGTAAAAAAAAATTTAATAACTATAAATTTTGAAAATGATGTATACCACCTCTGTCAAACCCGACTATAAATACTCGGATTAATAGTAATGTTATCCTTTATTGACAATATAAAACAATATAGTTAGACAATGGCAGAAAAATTAGAGTGATTTGATTTTTTTGAATATAAAAATTTTGATATTTTCTCCAAATATTTTATAGGGGTAAAAATACCTCCACAGTATAGTATTATATTTTCATTAATTTTATCATCTAATATACAGTATTTTTTTTTCTTTCCGTAACCTTTCTGCCATCATCTAATTGGATTAATTTCAAGTCCATATCTTGTTTTATAATTTTTATGGTGTCAATAAAG